TGATCCACAAAACAGCATAAGAGTAAAAGAGTAAAAGAAGAACTGACTGTGTTACAGCACCCGCTGCTTGTTGAGAGTAAAAGCGATATGCGCTTTCACGTCTTTTTTTAGCGACTTTTTTTAGAAAAAAAATCGCTAGGGGGTCTGAAAACTCGCTAAATATAGCGACAAAGTCGCTAAGTTGGCAACACTGCCTCCAGCTTCAACCTGTATTACCCTTCAAGGACCTGCAGTTCAAAAAAGTGCCCCTCTGACAGCCAAACCCATCTGTTCTCTGATTGGATTGTTACATTTGTGATTGACATGACATTGACCAATCAGATGAAAGGAAGAAAAATAGGGTCAAAATTCGTACTTGTAACTTGCAGGGTTTTTTTTGGCTAAGTCCACACACAAATCTTTTTTACGCACGCACAAATCTTTTTTTACACATACAAACCTTTTTTACGCACACACAATTTTTTTTTTACACATACAAATCCTGATTTACAAGTACAAAACCGATTTACAAGTACAAAATATTTATGACCACATTTTGAGCCCATAAAAAATCAGTTTTACAATATGCATCATTGAGGTACAAAACTGAAATAATGACAATATGGGTGTAAGGGTATACAAAGTTCATTTCATGATAAGACTTCCTTGGTTTTGGAAATTGTGTGAGTTAAACACTTATTAGTTTTAAGTATAAATTAAACAAAGTATTCGTTTGCACTTGTGACCAACAGTGAGTTTTGTGTACCCTTACAGCCCTAAGAATATGGTCTAAACTACAATGGAATCCACTTCAAAGCAAGATTGAGGAATAAAAACATTAATTCAATCCCAAAACAACTGACTCACAGTGAATCTGTGTAGAGTTTTATGCTACGTAACTCATATGCATTTTTGTAAAACTAGCTTATACGTCGGTATTTTTTCAAATAAATATCTTTCACTAGATCTTCAAAAAAATAGTCTCTCTTATGTTATCGTTAAAGTCAGTTCAACTGTCTTTTAGACAGATGGGAAAAAAGATAGATTACATGCTAGCAGCTTTAACATTGTACTTAACCCTCACCCTTCTCCTCATCTAGCGGAAAATAATCATTCTTCTTAACATGGGCTGAACAGTACTATTTACAAATACACTTTAAAATGTAGTTCACATTGTATCAAGGATATGAATGTATCTCTGGTCTAGAATACTGAACAAGGACAGAGAGGATTTTTAAGGGAAAGGTTAAAACTACTGGTGTGAATCACCGTGAAGTTTGTTGTCCATTAAATTCAAACAAGCTACATTCTAAGATCAAGTCATAAGCCGACTTTTGCCCATCGCTTATTAACCTTGTGCTTACTGGCAACTCAACAATTTTCTAGAGCAGCGAAGTGGGGGCAGCACTAGTTTGAGACTGTGTTTCAGCACCTCGAGATTACAACTGATCTACACCGTGTCTGACTGTACAACTGTACTTTGTACTACATCTCAAATGTACTTGATTACAGTGCAGTGTGTAGTCGGGTGAAAATAGACTTACATTTGAAAACATTACCAAAAAAATCACAATGGAAATCTGCCTTTTTGTGTTTTTATAAGACCTAAATGCTAAAGGTGCTAAAAACTAAACAATGTTAACCAACCAAATAAACATACTACAGTTTTAAAGGAAAATACACTGTAGATTCCAGTTAGTCTGTTTTTGTTTTATTCCAAAGGCTTCAGAGATGTTTAGAGGTAGTCAGTTTCCAGTCTTTTGCAAAGCTAACAGATTTTAACCTACTTATGTAATGTTTAATTCTAAAAATTGCACCAATATTTCTAATTAACTATAGTCCTATTTAAGATCATTCGAAGCTAGCACAGACTTTGGTTGCTCTGGAATATTTAAATCCTCATCTCAATGTTGTTGAGGTTTAAGCAGCATCAAACTTAGCTTTAGTAGAGAATTTATAACAAAGAGATCAGACATATCAGTGAACACAAAGTGTTGCAAACAGTTGATGTCCAGTTCTTTCAGCCTCTTTTGGATGGACGCTATATTCACAGCGAGGGATATGTACTGGAAGTGGAAGACAGTCAAGATAAATATTATCTGTCCTGCCTGTCCTCTAACTTGTCAAAAGTAAAAGTAAGCAAAAAATAAATAAAAGTCAAATAAATAACAAATTAAATGTCAAATACTCATAGATTGATATTATTCAAAATAAATATTTTAATATTGCTCCTGGAAATTAAATAAATTTTAAAGGAGGTAGGCACAAACCGACACCCACCTTCACAGATCTAGTGACACTGCATTAAAGGACTGTACCAGTGTTTTAGCACCTTAATTACACCTTAATTCGTGATTTTTATTACCAATTAACAAATTTGAAGCTACAATTTTTGAGCTTTTTTTCAGGAAGCCACGGGGGGTTTTTTTTTGTTTGTTTTATAAAATAAATACATAAGTAATTTTCGCCATTGTGCTGATTGATTTACCTGACATAAAGACTTTTTCAAAACCATTGGCTTCCTGAAATAAGGAAAAGTCCAGCCTTTTTTCCCCAAAAGATCAGACATAATAATAATAATAGAATGTGTCTATTTGGTTTAAAACAGGTTACAACATGCATCACCACCAGTTTTTCAGTATGTGTCAACTTATACTGAAGAAGCGGTTCAATACAGTGAATCTGGTTCTTTTGAAATAAGAAAAATAAAAGTGTTCATCTGTCACAACAATGACTTCTTAGAATCAGCCTCAGTTTCAAAAAACAAGTCAAGAAGGCTGTCATTAACAAGAAACTGAATAAATGATCACTAATGGAATAAACCTCAACTATTAACTCTAGTACTTTTGGAAATGTCAGTCTTGATAAAGATAAACTCAAACGTCCATGCAGCTGAAATAAAACAACAGCAAAAACGTCTTATGTTAAACTGCATAGTAGGGATAAGGATTAAAGTAGGGATGTCTGTTCTATTAATGTGATGACGTTAACAGCCAAAGTTTTAGTTCTATTTGAAGAGATTTTGTAGTATTTTCTTTCAAAACACATGTAGTGCTCATTTTTGTTGTTCTGCTTCCATAACTGCTAGAATCCAAAATTATGAGCAAAAATAAAATTGTATTTATTGCCTGGGCCCAATTCCTTTTACCCTATTATAATAATGTGAGAGCAAAAATGTCAAAAACCTGGAGAGAGGGAAAACCCACAACTATATGCATAACAGATACAACTTAAGGGAAGTAATCTTCAAAAGATGTACAGACGCAACCCTGTGTAAATAAAAAATATATATAATTAAAAGAAATATATATATACTATACTAATATATATACTTATACATATATAGATGTATAATTTAAAAAATACATTTAACATGTAAAGTAATTGTAATGAAGAATTTCTGATGGACAGGGCATAAACAGAAAAAAGTGTAGACTATTAATTACTAAATATTGTAAAGTGAGTGGGATTAAATAAGTTTATGCTTCTTCCTACTCCTTTATGAACATGTAATTTATTTATAATTATTATTGCTTTGTTTTCCTTCTGTCTTGCTTTGTTTGCTCTTTTTTCCTCTGCTATACTATTTTAACATGTAAAGAATACAATATTCATTAGGGTTCCTTTTTCTCTCTTTGTATTCTCACCTTGGTCTTTTTTCAGTGTTGGTAGGGAAACATGCAGGAAGGTACAGAGGAGGAAGTCTGTTGGTCTCACAGACTGTTGAGCTCCTCAGCTTCTTGTCAAAAGGAAGGGTCAGGTGACAGCAAGCAAACAGGAACCAGAATTAGTGCCCGTGTGGTATGTAATGTGAGATAGTGAGTGCACAGGTAGTTTTGGTAATCCCAGAGGGATTTGAGTTAGATGGTGCTTTCAGTATGTGCGTGACTGATTGTGTGAACATGTGGGTGAGGATGGCTGGGCCGGTGGGGGCCCATGCAGTTCTGCTGGTCACTGAGCAGAGAAGTAGTCTCTCCTGGCCCGTTCTCTGGGCTGACAGAGGGCGGAGATAGCGGAGACTTGGAGGAAAGGGTGGAGCTCAGAGTTAGATTGGGGTTTTGGGCACACAGGACGGTGCTCATGGAGGAAGGAGGAGTTTGGGAGATAGGGGCGTGGTTGCTTGGAGATGGAGTGGCCTGGGGCAAAGAATGGCTTGGCCTTCTGCTGGAGGAAGAAGAGGTGGTTTGGGGCAGTGTGGTACGGTCACTCAGAGGTGTTGGCTGAGAATTGGATGCAGGGCGCTTCACAGGAGGTGTGGCCAGTGGCAGTGGGGTGTGTGGCCCTGGTGGCGTTAAAGGGGGCAAAGAAACCGACGTATCTAGGCGTGTGTGACTGCCCTCTGGAGACTGTGGTGTGCTGTCCAGCCTCGATGCCAGCAGGCCATTCTGGTACTGAGGACGAGTGATCTATGCAAGACAAAACAAGGGTGAATAGATTTTTTTTTTTTTTGCCTGTCCCGTTTGGATCTTTAGCTATCAGAATTGTTGTCTGAAAGCCAAGAAAGATGCCAAGTGGATTTACTTTACCAAGTGGATCATCATGGCCTTGCCATATTGGTCCATTTGATTGACCTTTATTATAATTATGTATTTATTTTATTTTCGTTTTTTAAAGACGGGACAGACATGACTGGGGGACAGGACAGGGAGAAAGAATGAAAGAAAGAGAGGGAGAGAAAGAAAAATAGAGAGGAGAAGAGATGGTGAGAAAGGGAAGAAGAAAAAAAAGAAAAACAAACAAAACACCTGGATCACCACGATCACTAAAGAGCAACATAATAAAAACAACACCATCACAATAAATTAGCTAATAATAGATAACAGTAGATACTTTTTTAATTTCACCTGTTGAGAATGAAAAAAGAAAACAAGCAGAAGAAAACGAGAGCAATAGAATAAACAACATCACGATGATATATGGGAATATAACTGTAAATACTAAATATTAAACATTATTGTGCAGCACGTAAGATCGACAGCGCACAGTGGGCTTTGAGGTAGGAGCCAAAAAGGGTGTAGTTTGTGTGTGTGAGCACCCGTGTGTACACCTGTGAGCATGAACGCGCTTGTTTTAAAAGGTTCCTTCATGTAATGATCTGCTAGAGGGTGTGGGGAGCCACAGCCCGTCCACCAGGGCATCAAGCAGGTATGGAGGAGATCAAAACTCCAGACATCCAGAGGCCCCCAGAACACAAGAGACCAAGGAAGACCCCAAACCTCCCTCCACCCGCTCATATGTAGTGTTGATGCATGTGTGTTC